CTCATGACAAAATGCCATCATCTTATAAATATGTATAGTCAACTGTTTTCTTCAGGAGACTGGCATACAACTTTAATTAAGGAATTACAGTGGGAAATGATAGATATATAATAGACATACTATGACTAATTCAGTACATTATACTGTTAAAACCATCTCCAAGGTATCTAGCTTGGTTGTCTTAGAAACACCAAGGAAAGTGTGAGTGGTAAGAATTAATATATCATGAGAAACAAGTAGAATGTTTTAAAGTGTTTACACAAGATTTTCTAACCCTTAGAACTTAATGTTGCAGATATAGGTGTATCGTACTTATACACACACACACACACACACACATATATATCAATATTAAAGATTGGTGTGTAGCTACATGGATCTGTATGTTACAATCCCACCTTCAACACTGGCTGACAAGTGGTCAAGTTTATTTGCCATCCTTTCCTCGTTTTAAGTCAGCTGGCCTAGGATGTCTTCCAGACGTTAGTGTTTGTAGGGTATGTGAAATCCTGATAATTTAGCATTTTCTTTATGAAAAACATTTTGGCATTCATTTCGACACTAGAGTGCTCAATGAGAAAATAGAAGAGAAAAAATTCTGATATTTTACTTCTGAAGCCAAAAAAAAAAAAAAGGCAGTAAGAAAAGACACTGCAGTGGCCTTTATTTTAAAAACATTAAAATCAGTTTGCTTACATGTGCAATAAGTTGAGCATTTGAGAATATCAAGTTATGAAGTTTATCATCTCTTATCATCGTCCCGTGGCAAGCTAGTTCTGTACGAGTCCTTTTGTTCCTGCTCAGGCAAGTTTGTTCCTAAGGGTTTTTCCTGTTTCCTCAGTTCAATATTTTGACTTTTTATTATTGTCAAAAACAGTTCTTTAAAAGGTAATTAAGTTTTAGAACATGTCATGAAATTTAGATTTCTCCAAACTACAGGTTTCAGAAAGGTTTATACAGTGAGAAACTGAGAGCAAGCTGTTGGCATGGCTCCACCTGCCGTCAGTTAAGGAGAGGCTGAGGTGCAGTCATCTCTGTGTGAGGGATACAAAGCCAGAGATGGCCGCCACAGTGCTAAGACCACAGGTACCTGGGTTCCCATGAAAAGCCATTCTCACACGGTGTTAGCAAAACAACGCTGTATTTCATATGAAAATAGTTTAAACTTTTAACAGCTTAAACAAGGTATACCTGTATCCAGTATTTCATCGTTGTGGAGTTTTGGGTCATATTTCATATTTGTCAATATATTTTTTGTATTCATATTCTACTACCAATATTATGCTCAACTGCCTATTCATTGATGTGTGATATTTTGTAAATATTGTACAACTTGATCTTTATATGATTTTAAATTAGTATTAATTTATATTATATATATAACTTAATTGGTTGATTGCTAAAAGTTGTTTCATTGTTAAGCCCTGAAATGTTCAATTGTTGGTGACCTTAGGGCTCTGTCTTACTCCTTTGTATTTTCATGTGGTTTGAACAGGGCTTTATTTGTATTGCTATCTGAGACTGGAAAGGTAATTGTTTTGTTTTTTTAATTTCACTTCAGAGCTGATGTTAATGGGTCCTTACCCAGGAGTCAGAAACTAATGAACACAGGGTGACTGCTTCTTATACACTAAAAGCTTACGTTCAGTCAGATGTTTCTCTGACGCTTTTAGTGGTATGAGTTTCTTTCTGTGAACTGAACCCAAAACTCAGGAATTGCTGGATTCGTATGCAAGTTCTTTAACTTAGTGTATAATTGACCTTGAGTTTAGCCAGACAGTGTGACTTGACTTTGAACATTGTGACCTGAGGGTGATCTCTCTTCATAAGTGGATTCAGAATGTGTGTGACTCACCGTTCCAAACTGTCTGAAAACTCCACATGGTTTCTCGGGGGTTTGTGACTCTATGACCAGTTTTCTTCATTCATCTAAAACATTATTTTCTCACATGAAAATTTAGATGAGAAGTAAAAATTCTTGGCATTTTCATTTTTCAGTTGTTAAATGTCTAGCTGTCCCCCATTCAGTGAGATGCTGCTGGCTAGAAAAGCTAGTAATAGGCATATGAGCTGTAGTGTGCTGCAGCCGTAGACAGTTAATGTGCAATCCCTGCCGCTACTTTTCTTGTCTGACTTAGAAAGGTCCAGTGGTAATCTTTGTCACAGCTCGGTTGACAACTGCATTCCATTGAAAAGTTGGCCTTGTAAGAGACAATCCTCATTTACTTTTTCATGCTTTTGTGCCTTTAAGGAAATATTTTTCTTATTTTATGTTACAGAACTATAATGTGTTCAAAGTGTTTGTAGGCTTACTTGTCATAAAAGGGTCATTTCTCTGTCACTTTATTTCCTTTTATATAGCTGAAGAATATGTAAACAGTAACGCCGTACTTTTATAAGGATTTGTCTAGTTACCTATTTCAAATATATTCTTACTCAGACATCATTAAAGTAAACCTGTCAGATTATTCTGAGTATTGTAAACAGTGCCTTTTTGATGGAATTCACACTGTTTTGAGTGTCAACTCGTGCCATATTCACAGACTTGTGGAAGGCAGTTTTAACTTTTTGAAGACTATCTTCATCAAAATTTTAAAAGCAAATGTATAAAATTTCATCTTTTTCCAGTGTTTAGCATTTCTAGTCAGCAGTAAATAGTTTTGTTTTGCTTTTTTTGTCTGATGTACAAGGATGATGGCATAAAATGAGCCATACATGAGTCTGCAGGTTATTTTGAATTATGTTAAATATAAATAAAGAAAATATTCATGTTTATATCAAATTTTCCAATTTGACCTATCGGGGGAAACCTCCCATAATTCACTAAGTTTACATTTCAATCTCTTTCTTATTTGACTAAGTGTATAAAGAGATTCCTTACAATGTATGACCTGCCACCACTGCATAGTTTGGTTTCATTTTGTTACATATTTTGTGGGTTTAGTATATCCACTTTTTGTTACAATTATGATACTATTTTGTTACAGTTTTTAAATGAAGATGGACTTTTAAAATTGTACAGGACCAGTGTCTTATTAATAAGATTAGCATATTTAGTGAGAGCCACAGGAAAACCTTGACGAAAATGAATGTGACTATACTCTATGAGGTATTTAGAAAAATTAGCCTCTTCATTTGTCATTAAAATTCTTTCAGTACCATAATACTGCAATTCTTTATCTGAAAGAAATGCCATGAAACATTTGAATGATGAGCCACAGACCTTCGGTTGGATTTACTTTCACTTTTTGGCATGTTAAATACACATTTAATTTTAAATACATCAGTTAATGGCTGTTTATAAAGTCAAGCACTACCACTGGTCAGTTTTGTATGATAGGCTATAAGTGTGTTGTTACCTGCAGTGTAAGTATAGCACACTGCTGAAGTCTCTTAAGGTGCATAGTTAATGTATAGATAGTCACAGGCGGTTTTGTAATGTATACATTTCTAAGCTATTATTCCTAACCTGTTATGTTTGCAGAGAAAAAAGAATTTTTCTACTGATCTGTAAAATTATGTTAACTTCTACAAGTAGGTATTCTAAATAAACTTTTTAAAAGCAATCTGTGATTCAATGACTCCTGATATAATGTAGTAACTAAATTCTCTTTTTTATTTATTTTGCTTTGTTTTGGGGGGGTGTGTGTGCAAAAGATGGGTACAGGCTTGACAGGGATTTAACAGAATCCCTAATGTATGTTTTACTTGGCACTTTATATTCTTTGTTAAATAAGTGGATATTATACATAGTTCATACATTAAAAATGAGGTTCAGAGTTTCTAAATGACCCCAAGAACTACACACACAATAATGGTGAAAGCAGTCTCTGGAAAGGTGCAAGTGTTTTGAATCATGTCTACACAGTGCATTCAATCAAGTAGAGCCTTGATTGTAGTATTTGAATGTTTGAAATAACCCACTACTTAAGTCTATATTAAGATAACATCACGTGATGAATACAATCAGGTAAAAAAAAAAGCATTACCGTTAAACATTGAAATGTTTTCCCCTCCGATCACCTGAACCTCAGATAAGTTCAGGAAAGTTTTACCCCATTTCCTCCTCCTTTCTCCCCCTTCTAGCTTACCCCTCAGAATTTCTAGAAATAACAGGATAACCTACAGTTTTATTTTTCTGCATGGGAATAAGGAGTAAGGGGGAAACCTGTTAAACATCAGTGTGTATCTAGATCACTTTCCTGCTAATATTGACATATTTGTTCTGCATTCTTGTGGATATAACAGGCCAGGAGTGATGATCCACCCTAAGAATGTTGTGAGTAAATTGACAAATTCTTGATTCTACTTGCTCTGAGTTAGAGACTGTACAAAGTACTTCCTATTGTACCCACCTCAAAACTGTGAATTTTTTTAGTGTATATAATATACATAAATTTTTAATATATATAAATGAGGAAACCAGGGACCACAGAAGTTATTTTCTGAATGTCACGGATGATTGACTGGAAGGACCTCAGAAGCCTGTGTTTTAATAGGAAACATGTCTGCTTGGGGGTTGTATGCAGCACACGGTTAATTTATGTCGAATCGTACTAATGGTCATCGATGTGAATAACGGGCAAACGTCTATCATTTCTGCACAAGTGTTAAACTAGTCGGGGTTTCTTAGACCCCTGAACGCAGGAAAGATCGCACGCCCCAGCGGAAGTCAGCCTATAAACGGCGGTGGCCAATCTCCGAGGCCATCCAGCATCCTAAAACCATGTGCGTGACGTCAGGGAGAGCGGTTGATAAGAGTGTGGGCCCTGTAGGAGCAGACAGACGGACCCGGGGCGGGGACAGAACCCGCGGAGTGCAGACCTAGCAGGGCGGTGAGTGCAGGGTGGCGTCAGGAGACACCACGGTCACCCCACGGGTGGGTTCCATTGCACCGCCAAGCCCAGCGGCTGCACTTCCGGCTTCCTCCCCGCCTCTTCCGGCCCCGCCCACCAGCGGTCCTGCTCTTCCGCCCTCAATTACGCAGAAGCGGTCCGCAGGACCCTGGGTCCATGGGGTCCCCGGGGTCCGTGACCGCGGCGCTGCGCGTGGCTGAGGTGCTCGAAGCCATCGCGAACCGCTGCGTGGGGCCCGAGGGCGGGCTAGTCTTGTGTACGAAGCCCACCGGCGAGGTGCTGCTTAGCCGGGATGGAGGCCGCCTCCTGGAGGCGCTGCACTTAGAGCATCCCTTAGCCAGGTACCTCGCGCCACCTGCCGTCCGCCGGGACCCGGGGGATAAAACGATCTTATAAGACCAGTGCAGACATCGGGTTAGCGTGCTGTCCAAAACGACTTGTCCTGGACCCCAAACCTCATCAGATACCTAGAACATTTCTCTTTTCCCGTCCCTGGATTCTTAGGGTAGAACAAAGTAGCTTAGAAAAAAATTTAAAAGTAAAGATAAGTCTGTGTGTCAAAAAAACCCGGTAGTCTTTATGTCTGTCTGTAGCTTTTAACTTGGCACCAACGTAGAAAATCTGAGTTACTTTTTTTTCCCTCCCTATACAGGATGATAGTGGCGTGTGTTTCCAGTCACCTTAAAAAAACAGGAGATGGTGCTAAAACATTTGTTATTTTTCTTTGCCATTTACTCAGAGGACTTGATGCAATCAGAGAAAAAGATCCATTCACTCCTGAAAATATTCAAACCCATGAAAGGCACTGGAAAAACTGTAGTCAGTGGAAATCTGTTTCCCAGGCTCTTCTAACGTTTCAGACACAAATACTAGACGGTATTGTGGACCAGTATTTAAGCAGGCACTATTTGTCTGTCTTTTCTTCATCTGCTAAAGGAAGAACACTGCGCAGGTGCTCTTTAGAGTCACTCCTAGAAGCATATTTTTGTGGACGAGTGGGACGAAACAATTGCAGATTCATTTCACAGTTGACGTGTGACTACGTTCTCGAGAGCATGGCGTGTGAAAGTGGGATCGAAGTGTTTGAGTTGATGGACAGCTGTTTTTTCGAGCTGAATGTTGGTGTCGCAGGCCTTCCTGTTTCCGCTTCCAGAATCGTGGACGGCCTTGTGCTTCACCGAGACTTCTCTGTGTATTGCCCAGCAGATGGTGACATTAGGATGGTGATGGTCACAGAAGCCCTCCAGCCTCTGTTGTCATCGTCCAAATCAGAGTTGATGCTAAATTCGGAAGCGCAGTTTCAGGCGTCTCAGTGTTGGATCGTGGAGAGGACAGAGGCAGTAATGAAACATTTGCAAAGTCAGAATATAAAACTGCTCCTGTCCAGTGTGAAGCAGCCAGACCTGGTTGTTTACTGCGCAAGACTACATAGCATATCCGTGGTGGAGTGCTTATCGGCCCAAGAGGTTTCTCTCATCCAGAGGATCGCCGGCCTTCCTCCTTGTGTTCCGCCACGGGTCACTTCACAGGGTGAGATTTTGCATACGACTTCGGTGAGATTTTGTAAACCCCTCATCCTTAGGTCCAAAAGGTATGTTCATCTTGGTTTGATGAGCACACGTGGGTTTATACCACACAGCATGATCCTTTGTGGACCGGTTCCGGGTCTTGTTCAACAACATGAGAGTGCTTTGCAGGGAGCGTTTAAGATGCTCCGGCACTTGTTTACCGACCTTGACCTAAATTACGTTGTACAAACCGAGGACCAGTGCGACTCCCGTCCTCTTGCGTCTAACAGTAGCAGAGAGAGTCATCACCTACCAGAAATGGGTAAGTATCAAGACATAACCGTAAAGAACAAAAATAAATTGGAAAACACTCAAGCGTATTTAAAAGTATATTCAAATCTGGTGGCTTCCGATACAGAATTAGAAATGCCGGTGCCATGGTCATCACAGAAGGAGACACCGACAGATGTGTCTCCAACAGGTGATCTACGGAAGTGCTTGTCTGCAGAAAGAAACTGGATGATTGATGGCTGTGAACTGTCGATTGAGAATAATTCCACTGGAAACCCCACAGCAGAAGACACTAGAACAGAAATTTCTCATGAAAATGTACAGGTCATAAATAATCCTGGGAAAGGGTACACGTTGCCGGTGATATACAAGTCCCTGGAGGCATGTACTTCCTGGGGTTATTGTTCATCAACTATACCAGCGGGCTGTGTTCTGCCAGTGGGTGGTAGTTTCGAGATCTTGTTGCATTACTATCTTCTCAACTTTGCCAAGCAGTGTCGGCAATCATCTGAAGCCACGGTCTGTACGTTGATAGCTCGTGCACTTTTAGGCATCCCTAAAATCCTTTGCAAGCCTCAGAAGGGAAAGGCCAGCTTTCCACACACGTACATTCGCTCTCTCCACGCACTGCAAACCGGTCAACCCGTGGTAAGTAGCCAGTCGGGACTGGAGCCAGTAGCTGGGAAGTACCAGTTACTAACTTCAGTTCTGCAGTGTTTGGCGAAAATACTAACCATTGATTTAATAATCAATATTAAGAGACAACCTCAGAAAACTAGTGATGAAGATTCAGAAGATGAACTTTAACACTCCAAGTTTTTTGATGCTCAAACTTTGAATCGGGGGCCAGGGAGAAGGCAAACTTGAGGACCTGTGGTTATAATGCCCAGGGCCCACTGGCTGGAAGGAGAGAAGTGTCGAGTCTTAGGATTGTCCTGTGTCCTATACACACATTCACAGATACAAACAATAAATGCCAGGAAAAAAGATTTATTTAACTCAGATTAAAAATTAAAACAAACTTCTGGCTGACTTCCAAGTCAATCCAGTTTTTAAGTACATTGAGTCTCAGACCGTTCTAGGGAACAAAACCTGGCTAAAAATGTCTCTCTCCTGTTATATACCTATCTCAGGTCTGTGTTAGCCTATGTCTAAGGGAATGTGTCTGTATATTTCCCTTTGCTATATTTTTTCCACTTCATTTCCTTGAACTTTCTGTATTTCCCGGTCATGTCATCTCCCGGTGTGAAAGAAGTTGTTTCTCACCATGATATAAAATGTTATGTTTTATTTAAAATAGTTTTTCTGTGGGAAAAAATGTTGTAAAGCAAAGTCCAAGTTTCTCTGAAAGCATTTGTGTGTCATTTAGTTCATTTCTGGTGAAAACGGTTGGGGGCCGGGGAGATGGTTCAGTGGGTAACGCATCTGCCACCTGAGCCTGGCACCCTGAGTTTGAGGGGGAGAACCAACTCCACCAAACTGCCCTCCAAGCCCCACATGTACTCTGTGGCCCTTTTCATGCACACGAAGAGTAAAGTTTCCAAATCTGCACCTTTGACTATCTGTTCAAAAATGACGACGTTGTGAATTCACCTTTCATCACTGGAAGTCAATACCAAAAAAGATGGGAAACGTATTCTTCCTCTTCTGTCTCCTGAACTCTGGTAAGGATTCAGTGCAGTTGTACTAAACTAGTATTCCTCTCTGATCCATAGTGTGAACAAGGTGTGAACATGGTGTGACCTGCTGCCTGAGCTCCCTCTTGGCTTCCTCAGAATGACAGACTGTGACACAGAGTTGTAAGCCAAACAACCCCTTCCTTTCATTGTATTACTTCATATCAGGGCATTTAATCACAAAACCAGAAATGACATCAAGACAAGCTGGCTAACACAAAAAGAGTATTTTTAAATGCCTGGTTTATTGAGACATAGTTTACATATGGTAACCAAGCAAAGCTCCATTGTTATATATTGCTGTAAGTTTAAACAAGCAATTCAGTTTTATAACTGTCATAATCAAGACTGACAAAAATCTGTCATCCCCAAAGTTCCCCCAGGGTCTTCCTCCTGTCCTGCTGGCTGCTGATTTCACATCAGTGGGCACAGCTTAGCTGGAGGCAGATGCACAGCACATGCCTGTCTCCCTGTGTTTGCTCCCTGCTGTGCCCTGATCCCACCACCCTTCAATGCATGCCCTTCCCATGCGCCGCCACATGCCTAACACCTGCTTTACCTAAATTCCTCTCTTCCTTAATTCTGTGTGGAGGGAAACCTTTGGAGAATTTTTTAGCAAAGGCATTACATAATTTGATTTGCATTTCCCAAGAAACAACTAGTGATGTAGGGAAAGAACCTTATTTATAAGACATATACATTGCAGCTGGGGAAAAATAGTATGTCTACAGCTTGCTTTGAGATGGTTCACCAACATGCGTGTTCATGTTCATGTGTATATATGTGAATAACATCGGTTGATGTTAATTGGCAGTATTTCGTGTTCACTGTACTTTTTCAACCTTTTGTGGGTGAATTACTCCTGTTGCTAGGACACCTGGGCAAAAGCAACTTGGGGGGAGAAAGGGCTCATTTCCCAGAGGGCCACAGTCCATCCTTCCACACATAAATTGAATCTCTTTAAATCGGGGTCCTTAGTGTTATTTCAGGAGCAATCCTCCATGCATTTGATAGACATAGATAGATGTGTTGTATATCCAGAAAAGAAGAAAAGAAGTCTGGGCTAAAATGATAAAACTTTGAAATGTGAGCACCCTGTGATGTCTAAACTATGGAGCTAACAAGGATCTCCTAGGACATGGGTGTGGTCAGAGAGGAGGCCCAGTCTGTTCTTGGAGAACTGGGCCATGAACAGCCTGGAAAGAAGTTCAGGGCATTGATTCTTACTGGTATGATCTCATGCTTCCTGACAAAGCATATGACTTGACTTGGCATATAGCTTTATCCCTAAGATAACCTATGACCACATAGGTTTGCTGTAGCCTAGTTCCTGGGACAATTTTTTTTTTTAATAACTTGGCCACATCCACCAGCTTGATTCACTGAGCTCCTGAGACAGTCATCTGGTATGCTGACAAAATTGAGCTGGTGTCTGCTGGGGAGAAGCCAGCAGAGGACCGTGGAAATTCCCCAAGGAAATGAACTGCACAGCTGGCTGCCCCCCTTCCTCATGCTCTTCTCTTTGTAGCCTGCCAGGGAAGGGTATTCTCACTTTTCCACAAATGGGGAGAAATTCCAAGCCAGGTAGACCTGATGGATAGTCTCTCTCTTGGCTGCATCCTTTTGTACTGTACCATCCCGCTGGTCCGCCATGGGCGTCTCAGCTTTTCTTCTCCACACAGTTGGCATGTCTTACAGCAAGGTCCTTATTACTATTTCAGGCTTTCTCTCTGTGTGCAGCAGATCTGCGCTCGAAAGGTTTATTTTGTTTCTGGGTCAGTTATAGTCAAATAATTCAAAACCAAAAATGGCATAGTTTGCACAGACAACGTTGCTTCCAACCTCCCCCGAAGTCGTGCTTGCTCCCTAAATCACTGTCTGTACATGCATCAGTCCTACAATCACGTGGACACACTTAGCCAAGAGCATGACCAGGAAATTCAGCCTCTAACTAGGTATTGATAGGCCCAGCTACAGGGTGTTCTTTTTTTTTTTTTTTTTTAGTTTTTCGAGACAGGGTTTCTCTGTAGCTTTTGGTGCCTGTCCCGGAATTAGCTCTTGTAGACCAGGCTGGCCTTGAACTCCCAGAGATCCGCCTGCCTCTGCCTCCTGAGTGCTGGGATTAAAGGCCTGCGCCACCGCCCGGCATCAGGGTGTTCTTGCATAAGAATAACTTTGGTGCTAATCTACTCCCCTTCTGCAGGACTCATGGCCTCCCCGACACCCCTGGGTAAGGCTGCCATTTTGTCTATTGGGAAGAGAGAAAACATTTCCTAAGAAATAGCAGAGACTCGTGGGGAATCTTGAGGAGGAATATCTGAGGTGCAAGAAGACCAAGGGTCAATCTTGTCCTAACAATGACAATAGTCAGGACTGGGACATAGGAGGCAGTGGTGCCAGGAAGAACCAGAAATGTGTTCATGCCAATGTGGCCAACTAGTTGCGTTTGATTCTCCCACATGGGACATACTACTGCAGGGTTTGGGGCAGAAGAGGACGTGATAGCTTATGTTTTACATACATCTTTCATCATAATTATCCCTCAACTCTTCACCCTAATTTCTCCCATGTCAGCCCCCCAACCTCTCCCAACTCTGTGTCCTTTCTTTTTGTAACAACTCGCTGAGCTAAATTTCTGCTGACCTTATATACATCCCCTAGAGCATAGATTGGCCTATCAGGCATACCCTTAAAGAAAACTGACCCTCCTCTAGAAACCTTCAATGCTATCATCTCCTCCGTTAAGAGTAGGAACTTGTGAGCCCCTCTCCGTCCATGATAGGACGTTGTTTGGCTTGATCTTATACAGGTCTCATGGCAGGCACTCACAGCAACAGAAATGCCATGTCCAGAAGACTCAGCTCCCTTCTAGCTTTTTAAAAATCTTTGACTCTTACAATCTTCCTCTATCCCTTCACCAAAATGTCTCCCACTGAGCCTTGGGACAGGGTGGTAATACAGATGTTCCATTAGTCTCTCAGGCCTCTACTGACTTATTCTCTGTGCCCTTATCAGTTGGAAGTTTTATTAACTGTCATCCACTACACAAAGAAGCTCATCTGGTGAGATCTGAGAGCTTCATTAATCTGTAAGTAGAGAGACACACGTTTAGAAAGTTTGATACTATGTCCAGCTACCAGAAAAGTAGTATTAGGTTCACCCTTAGCGACCATTACCTCACCAACCATGGTGATTTGTAGTGTCGGACATGAGTTTCCTCCTGTATACTGAGTCTTAAATCTAATTAGAAAGTGATTTGTAGTGTCAGACATGAGTTTCCTCTTGTATACTGAGTCTTCAATCTAATTAGAAAGAGTTTGGTCGTCCCAATAACATTCGTACTACATCATGGGCACATTTTGCTACATTAGCCATTCCTGTGAACGCGGGGTTCACAGGTGGGTAGATGGTTGATGACTTTGTCACCAGAAGCCTACATAGCACCATCGAGGCCTGTGAAAGCTACAGTGGGAAGAAAACTTCCTGTCTAGTGCCAAGATGATCTCTCCGAGTCCTGTGACCAAAGTATGGGGCATTTTCAGCGACTGAGCTCTGGTGGGCAATCAAGAGCAATGACAGTATCCTGGGAGGTGGGAGGGAGGGCATTCTCTGTGATATCCCTAACCAACAAATCATAAGGTGGTATCCCACACCTGGCACTGGGCTTTTCAGTTGGCAGCCAATGACTTCTGGGAGGAAGCCTGTGTAGGGTAACTCTAATTAAGTTCACACACACACATGCACATGACTCTTATGAGACCAGTATAAACTATTTTATGTAAATATTACATATATGTATATATACACACATAGTAGATTTCTGTGTGGCTTTTTCAAATATCCTTAGTTTTATCCCTCTCCCTGTGCTTCCCTCTGCTGTACTATGCCATGTCCTTACCTAAACCTCCGTATTACACCTTTTTCCTCTTCATATCACCTGTGTTCTATCCTGTCTCCCTGAAGGTCTTCCTTCACCCTCCCCACCAATGGTACCAGGGTCCATGAGTACTCCTAGTCAAACTTACACTTGCATGGGAGTAAGAGACAAGGTCATTGGAAATGAAGACACAGATGAAATTTAAAAGCCATGCCACAAGAAAAAGCATCTTTCTTGTACATTTAAGAATCATGAAAGAGTCACAGAGACAGAGCTGGAAAACATGGACCTAAAATTTTCCAGGACTGTAAGAGGGTAACTCAAGGTCTCATACAATTAATTCACACTCATGGCTCCTCTGAGAGGAAGTGGGATTCTGACCCTGTGGATAACTTTTGCTGTTGACTCCTGCCATGACAGAATGTCTGCGTAACGGGCCAAAATTTTCCATGTTCCCTCTTGTTCCAGAATTTTCCATGTTCTCTCTTGTTCCAAAAGAATCTGAGTCTACATCTGGTACAGGTGCAAAATTCAGCCTTGCTGCTGCTTTCTGTCCAGCTGAGATACTGTTCCTGCCCAATGTTTAATGGGGTCCAAAACAAAAGCAGGAATGCTCTCCCCTCCCTCCAGCTGTCAGTGTTTGATTTTAAAAGATGACCAAGGACATGAGCATGAAGCCACTCTGTGTCCATTCTCTCTGAGTTTTCCTTGATGTACCGCATAGCCACTTGGCTACAGTTGCGCTTCTGATGCTTCTGCACCTCTTCCTGGTAAGTCCTGGGAAGCAGAGATTCAGTCGTTCATGGTGTGTATTACCTCAGTTTTCTTCTTCATTCCCATGGTAGCCTCACTTCTTGTCACTCGGAATCAGAATCAGAGAGTTGGTGTCTGCTTTCCATCTTCATTTGTGTTGATAACATGCTTTTCTGGTTTGATCCGGTGACCACCACTTCCTCTGCTGGGCCCTGTTGATTTTTTTATCTGAGCACAGTAAGTAC